AAAAAAAAAAAAAAAAAAAAAAAAAAAAAAATCTGCCTGCCAATGCAGGGGACACAGGTTTGATAAATGGTCCAGGAAGATTCCACATGCTGTGGAGCAACTAAGCCTGTGTGCCACAACTACTGAGCTTGCGTGCCACAAATACTGACGCCTGTGCGTCGCAACAAGAGAAGCCCCTGCAATGAGAAGCCCATGCACCACAACGAAGAGCAGCCCCTGCTCAACGCAACTAGAGAAAGCCCGCACGCAGCAACGAAGACCCAATGCAACCAGAGGGGGGAAAAAAAGTGTCGGGGAGGGCATGGAGAAAAGGGAACCCTTGCGCACCACTGGTGAGAAGGTAAACTGGTGCAGCCACTAGGCAAAGTGGCATTTTTCCTCAAAAAATGAAAAACAGGACAACCATATGATCCAATAATCCCACTTCTGTGTATATATCCAAAGAAAATGAAAACAGGGACTTCCCTGGTGGTCCAGCAGTTAAGACTCCGTGCTCCCAAGGTGGAGGTCCAGGTTTGATCTCTGGTCAGGGGACTAGATCCCACAACTAAAGATCCCACATGCTGCAACTAAAAAATCCTGCATGCGGCAACTAAAAGATCCCACACGCCGCAACGAAGATCCCGCGTGCCACAACTAAGACCTGGCACAGCCAAATAAATTAAAAAAAAAGAAAAGAAAATGAAAACAGAATCTTGAAGGGATATTTGAACTCCATATACACTTGTTCACTGCAGCATTATTCACAATAGCTAGGATATGCAAACAACCTAAGTGTCCATCAACAGATAAATGGATAAAGAAGATATGGTATATATGTACAATGGAATATTATTCAGCCACGAGAAAGAAGGAAATCCTGCTGTGTTATTTATGGTAAGTGAAATAAACCAGACAAAGAAAGACAAACACTTCATGGTATCATCAATATGTGGAATCTAAAAAAAAGTCACACTCAGAAACTGACAGTAGAAAAGTAGTTGCCAGGGGCTGAGTGGTGGGGGAATGGGGAGATGTTGGTAAAAGGGTGTAAACTTCCGGCTAAAACATAAGGTCTGAGGATCTAATGTTACATGGTGACTATAGTTGGTAATATACTATTGTATAGTTGAAATATGCTAAGAGAGAACAACTTAAATGTTCTCACACACACACAAAAGATAAATATGTGAGGTGATGGATATGTTAACTAGATGGGGAAATCCTTTCATCATGTATAGGTTTATTAAGTCTCTACAATGTATACTTTAAATATTTTACAATCTTATATGTCAATTATACTTCAATAAAGCTGAAATAAATATAGAATAAATTATAAAAAAAAGAACCTGTGTCTAGAACATATAAAAAAACTCTTGTAACTGAATAATAAGA